TTATTATTATTATTATTATTATTATTATTATTATTATTATTATTATTATTATTATTATTATTATTATTATTATTATTATTATTATTATTATTATTATTATTATTATTATTATTATTATTGATTATTATTATTATTATTATTATTATTATTATTATTATTATTATTGTCATTATTATTATCATTATTATTATCATTATTACTGCATACCAGTAATATTCAAATTTATTGCTTATTTAACGCTTGAAATGATAAATTTTTGTGTAAAATTTGATGAAATTTTTTTTGATTATTCTTTTTTCTTTTCCGTTCTTTTTTCAGTATGGCATTGAAAAATATTGGCTAAATTCACTAAATGATGTTATAACGAAAATCAACACCATTTCAAAGTAAGCAAACTAATGATTTATTGATTGATTTAATATATGAAAAAATTAATTTGTATTCGAAAAATTTCCTTTATCAATAATCTAATTGTTGTTTTTTTACATTGAAAAAATGAATTTAATTTGACAGTACCAATAAATATTTTTTAGGGAAAATTCACAATTATTAACACTTAAATTTTGGAAATTATTCTAATTTAAATTACTATTTTTCTAAATTTTCATTCCTTTCATTTTATTTTCTTTTTCACTTTTGCCAAAAAAAAGGAAATTTCATCAATTTTGTTTTAGATGGCATTTTACTAAATCGGTAATGCGAAATTCACCTGTATACAGGTATAATATTGAAGATGAGAAATGGGATAAGTATGGACCATACAGACCTGTACTTCATATAACAATGCATCAACTTCATGTCACACTTCAAATGATTCAAAATGACGTCAATGAAGTTAATATGCAAATTTATTGGCAAAAATATTTATAATCGTTTGAAAATAATTTTTTTTCTTTTTTAATAATAAATTTTTATCGATTGCATGTTTTTGTATTATTAGAATAATTAATAGTTTAAATAATCAATTCAAATAACCAGTTGCAATAATTTTTTTTTTCTGCCATTGAAAGTATTTCATTCGTTGTATTGTTTTATGATAATTAGTAACAATTATTAACAATATTGTGATAATTGATTTAAGAAATTGAATGATTAAAAAAAAAGAACATAACTGCATTAGAAAGAAAAAACTAATTATTATACAATTTCTAAGTGAATAATTAGATAAATCATCAGATAATCCCAAAGAATTCACGATTGAAACAATTTATCACTGATACATTATCACCAGATGATAAGATACATCAACATGTAACACTTCATTTACATCCTTTTATACCCGATGAAAATGATAATCATGAAGAATTATTACGAAGGTTATAATTTTTTCAATTATTATTATAAATAATTGAAAATTTTTCCAAAATAAAAATTAAAAGAAATTATTGCCAAAAATTTTCATTCTTCAGATAATTATTAATTAAAAAATTTGATCATTAATAAATTCAATCATTAACTTCTTTAAAATTTATTAATTCCCCCAAAATTTTCATTCCTTAGATAATTATTAATTGAAAATTTTGAAATTCAATCATTAACAAATTAATTTTCCTTCTTGATTTAAGTAATTAATTAATTATCCTGCTAAGATAATACTTTATTTAGTTCTCTAAATTGTTGCAGAACGATGCGATACGTGGAACAATGTTTATTAAGTGATTGTCCTGGTAATAATCTAACACAACTTCTTGCTCGTCATACATTCCATAAAGAAGATGAAATTTTTCAAAAACTTCCACATCAAAATAATGATCGGTATGTTTTAAAAGCATAAAAATGATCAAAGATTATTCTTAAAATTCATTTCATATTCTCATATTTCAGTACATATTTCGAGTAATTTCATTCATTTTATGCTTACTTATTTTTTCATTTATTCATTCTATTAATTTAATTATTTATTTATTTATCCCATTTATTTGATCAATTAATTGACTCATTTTTTTGCACATAATTAATCAATTAATTAGTTATCTATCTATTAGTTAATTAATTGACTAGCCAATTTATTTACTTATTTATTCATTTGTTTCATGCTTATTTATTCATTTATTCATTCATTCATTCATTCACTTACTTATTCATTTAATTGTTTGTTTGTCCATTCATTTGACTAATTAATTTATGTATTTGTTTTATATTTAATTAATCAATTTACTTATTTATTTATTTATTTATTTATTCATTTATTTTACGCTTATTTATTTATTCATTTATTCATACATTCATTCATGCATTCATTTACCTATTCAATTATTTCATTTTCTGCCTATTCATTTAACTAACTAATTGATTTACTTGTTTTATACTTAACCAATATTTTAACTATTCGTTTATTAATTAATTCACTTATTCATCCACTTGTTTATTCAACTGTTTACTTATTTATTTCCTTATTTATTCACCCAATTAATAAATCAATTGACTAATTATTTGCTTTATATTTATTCAATTAATATATCTATTGTCCATTCCATTGATTTGTTTATTTATTTTATATTTGTTCATTTGATTGGTAATTTATTTATTTAATTTATTCATTTATTAATGGATATTTTTCGGGAACATACTTTACATGAGTTATAGTTTGAAGAATAAAATTATTGCAAGGTAATATTGCTAATTATAACTAGTAAGGAAATAGTTAAGGTTAAAGTAATGCTTATCAATTATTGTTAAATAAATGTAATAATGAAACTAAACAATTTGAAATTTCATTTTACATACCTGTATGTGAATTTCAATTTCATTTGCTATAATAATACATCTACGATTACTAATATTTTAATATATTTATATTTATGCAATGTAATTATGATTTATTATTAACAATATAATACAGTAATTATTATTTTCGTTAATATATTTATTTGAGTATTTAAGTATTGAGCATGTTCTAATCTCTTATTTCATCTAATATTTAATTAAAAATTATTTAAGGCCAACATTGGACGATACGAAATGTCACATTATCCGTCAACTAAGTACTTTAGAGAAAGCTAAACGAGTAACATCAATTAATAATTATCAGAATATTGTTACAGCTATCGCCGAGGTTTACAGTAATTTCATTCCCCTCCTCCCCAAAATTATATTTAATAAATTTTAGTAAAAATATGTAATGTTCAAAATGAATAATCATAGAGTGGATTATTGTCAGATCAAAGGATGAATCATTTGGAGATTAAAAGAAAAGATATTTTTAAATGACAAAAAAAAACGGATAATTTTGTTGACAGATTAATGAAGAAAACAAAAAATTCCATTGAAAATATTAATTAAAACATTTATGATTAATTAGCTAGCAAACATTAGCAATTAAAAGATTTTTACATATCACATAAATTAATAATATTTATTATTAAACTGTTTTATGAAACAAAATTTAGTATATATAAATATTTCAGGATATTAACAGAGTTGATAATTATCGTAAAAATCGTCAAGAACAATTGACAATAACACGTAATTCAATATCAGAAATTGAAGAAATTCGATTAAATTATCAAAAACGTTTGGAACGATATGCGAATTATTTGAAAAGATTTAATGAATAGTAGTTAAACACATTTATTAAATAATGATATATTTATGAACAAATGAATTCCTCATTGTTAAAAATTTGTGAATTTTTATCAAATTCCCATTTTTTATTTTAATTTAAAAAGTTTTTTGCATGAAGAAAGCATTGTGATCGATAGTGATTTTAAATTCATTCCAAATTGAATCAAATTTAAAATTTTGTCTTGTCAGAATCTAATAAAAAAATCTCAATTTTAAGGAGAGTAAAAGAAAAAATTGATGTTAAAACAATGATCTATTCAAATGCATCATAATTTTTTCATTATCAGATTTGTTTTAGTTATTCAAATTGGAGCTGTTATGCTACCATCTAATTTAATTCATCCATTGATTTCATTTTTAACATTTGATATGATAAATTTCAAGGTGATAAATGCGATCAATACTAAGGAATAAAATTGAAATGAAGATGAAAATCAAATTCTGAGTATTATTTATATCTCCAGCTTTCTCTCAGCTTCTCTGTTAAGACAAGGATATATCCCGAGAATTCTCAGAGATGATAATGTTTAATTTCGTATGGAATATCAAGCGTGGGAAGAAAAAGAAGTCCCTAATTAATTGACCAATAACAAAAGGAAAACGTTACTGGGAGAAAAGAGATGATTGAATTTGTTAAAATGATGATGATACCATCACTCACTTAATAACCACCACTATCATGTAATCTTTGGATGATAAATTAACCCAACCAATCAACCAATATTTCAAATAAATACAAAAAAAGAAAATCTTGAATGGTAATATCATAAATCGGAAGTAGCCATATAATATCACGGGAAACAAATTCCCAATGGGAAATTTTAAGCTGACTCAATATAAGAATGAAGAGTAAAAGGGTAATTGATAAAGTTGGATGGAAATAATTTGACAAAATTGAAATTAGCCTTTTTTATGATATTCTGATGGAAAAGTTAGATATCAAGCCAAAGTAATTCCACTACACAATATATGTTCTCATAAGAATTTTCCTCATTCAATGCTGAAATTCGATCAAGTATCAGCACCAGTGAAATTCCTTCCATTAATTCTCTTTTAACACTTGGCATATTTCTACTTCATATTTTTTCCTGAGTTTCCAAATTTTAGAATCCCTAATTATATATATATATATAAATCCCGTAAACTTGATATCACATCTCAAAAAATTCCTTTTCACTTCTTTGAACATTTCTAATGCAGCAGCTGTTTGCTTATATATATTCATCATCTTATTGTGAAAACGAAAAATTAAATGTAACACTGAAGTATACCATTTGAAATAATAGAGTTTTATGTGTTCACATATAAAAAGAAATTCACGATGTCAGTAAATAAGGATCATTTATACAAAATCGAACTAAATCAATGTTCAAGAAGCAAGAATACAGGATTATTTTTAGCAACTGATAAAAAGTTGACATAAAAAGGTGTGCATGCGGTATCACTTCTATCAATGAATGTTTTAACAGAAATCGGTGCATGCCTATAATATGTATGGAAAAAGAGAAGCCAAACAAGAAAATTCGTTCTTACCCATATTCTATTTTCCTATTAAAAAAAAAAAAAAAGTAGATATTAATAACATAGTGTACCGCAGAAATTGTCCAATCATTGGATTTGGATTTTAATGGTTATATTCAAACATGAACCTCATTTAATTGGAACTTTCTCCATTACTTTCACAATTCTACCAGCAAGATAAACTGGAATGATACAAATTACTTCCTCACTTCCACAGGAAAAAAAACCCCCTATCCCAAGACCACTTAATCTTAAGACGCGACGAAATTGTTGCGAAGATTTTACATGCCAAGAGGATTACTTCTGAAACATATTATCATATCTTCTACAAAGTGAAATTTTTCAGAAATATTACAGTTGGCCAAATCTGAACTTGCAATGAACTCGAGACAAATCCCCTCCTCTCTTTTCCCTTCTCCAACAAAATAAACAACATCCTTAACCCCATATGATTCCGAAAGAATCATTGACCCACAGAACATGTTACACAAATGCACACATACAGACACACACACACGAACACATACACATATGTGCACACACATACACATACGCACACACACACACACACGGACACACACGCACAGGCACAGACACAGACAGACACACACACGCGCGCACATACACATACACGCTCATATAGAAAACGACCACTCATGTATTTCCTTAAAAAAAAGCAAACGTTTAACTGAACCAGTTACCAAACTTCAAAGAAGGCTTGGAAGATTAACGAACGTAGAAAACCAAAAAAAAAAAAAACCGTTAGAAATTGGATATACGATAGCGTAAAGACAAGACAAAAAACGTAAAAACAGAAAAAGCAACGTAATTGGGGATGCTCTGATGAAGACAATAGACAGCACTCGACATACTTTTTAAAAAGCCAAAAGCCACTTTTTTAAAACTCGACAATCCTTCAGAAACAGAGCGAATAATTCCCAAAAAATCAAACTAATTATAATAGAAGAAAAAAAATTGATTGGGATAGGGTGGGAAAGGAAGGACTAGCAATAAAACGTTCAGAGCTGCTTTCCTGTCTTTTATCTTATATGATGAAATTTTCGACAAAAGTACAGAAAATTAGCGGTATAATGAAAGTGTGCAGAAGTTTTTCGCTGTCCTTCAATGAGCAACCAATATAAAACACAGCCTAAATCCGCTGAATCTTTTCCGAGACAATCACCGGATTATTTTTACGAATTTCTTCTCTCTCCATTGTTTTGTAGTCAAAGGAACAATCATGCGCCGTATCATAACGATGTTCGCCACAGTACAAACCACCGCAACGGCACACGAAACCTACAAAATGGCCTCATTCTTTTATTTCTAATAATTATGAAAGGTCTTTGCTAAGCGTTATAGAGCTAACAGCAATTTGATGAGTGCTGCAATTTGAGGGGCTATGTTTTGTTGAGGACTTTCTTCATCGACTGCCTTATTTAGGCAAAAAAAATTTACATCCAATCTGCATATATCCTCTCAGTGCAAAGTACAGAGTTCTGCTTTATTTCCCTTTTTTTTCTTGCTCTCAGTTTACCGAATGGGCCAATCAAAGAAGCTCAAAATGACGACAAGAAAAAAGTAAAGAAACGAGATCCAGAATTAAATTCTGAAATGCTCTAACAATGCTTACCAGTAAGGCCGACACGTTTCTTGCAAACATGACAACGATTAGCTTTCTTCGGAAGCGGTTGACCTTCGTTATTCAAAGTTACCGAGTCGGGAGCAGTTGCCGCATCAAGGCTTGCCACGGAACTAAAACGCATCAATATGTTCAACACCAAACAAATGTATTCATAGCTTTATCAGTGATGGTACAACAAGTTGCATGAAGATACAAAATCACCTGATCAACGATGACTTCGTATCTCCATGCAACTTGTTATCCCACTTTTGATAAAGTCATGGATTATTATGCATCGTAACATGGTATCATACACCGCTAAACACAATCCATGCTGTTTAGGCACATCGATGTATTTTTTAAATTGCCTTCTCGTCCTTCTATTCAATTTTCAAATTGTCTCCTTGCAAAGCTTCAAACGCTATTTTCCTGGGCGATCAATCCGATCATATGGTTGCTGCAGAAACCACACACAGGCATTTTTGATGGCCATCTATGTCATAAGACGAAACATTTATGACGCGTTCCTGAGCGAACAATTAAATCTGAGTTATATGAAAGTTCCATCGTTTTTTTAATCATTAAAAGTTTATTTGTATGCACGTTTTCAACAACTTTGACGTTCAATATTATTGAATACACTAAACCCAGTATCCCTCTACAAAATCCGGAAATTCTCCTTAATCGGATGAAGTATTTACATGAAAACCTCATTTACCCCTTCCTTTTCAAACCTTAATATTAACAATCTGGTGGAAATTTCTAGCTAAGATATCATGCGTTTAATTTTTCATTTTGTGTAGCAAATTTGTCTGTATCTAAATAAACTGTCTGTATCTAAATAAACAATATTCTTACCGCTGAAACGTTTTTCAAATGCAGTACTGTTATTACCAAATAATTTATTATGTTGTAATTATCTGATATCGACAAATTATAGGTCCGTGTACAAAAGAAATCAAACCTAGATGTAGAAAGGACACCAGAGCA